AAAAGAGTGCGCTACTGTATTTAAAATCACGCCTTTGGACCCAAACTTTCATGAATGTGAGTTACTCTGAATATTCTGTCCCTGATTCTGAAACACTGCTTCTGAAAAAAAGTGATTCTTGTATCCACATGCAATACTAATTTTGTTTTTTGTTACACAGAAAGAAAATCAGAATCACTCCTATTCTCTCAAATCATCTGCTTCTTTCAATGTTATAGAGTTTCCTTATAAGAACCTTTCCTTTGAAGATATCCACAATTCTACAGTAGTAAGTAATTTACATCCAGCTTGAGTTACCATACATAATTACTTGGAAATTAATACAAAACCAAGCGTTTTTGAGGCTTGGTATAATTGTAATTTTATGAAATATTTTATGAAATAATATTCATATATTAATTTCAGTTATACACACACAATTGAGGGTAAAACAAGAATTTTTGTCCTAAAACTAGAGTTAACAATATTTGTAGCTTTAAAGACTTAACTGAAAATGAAAAATATTATGGTGAACATCCTAATGTTCTTGTTAATGTCATTGTTGTTAGAGAAATATTTTACTTGAAAAATGTCTTCTACTGTAGTAGCACTTAGAGCCTGAATAATGGACCTTTATGATATTATATGAAGTACTACGTGAATGTGGAACAAAAAGACCATCTGTCCCCTAGAGAGTTTCAAAGAGAAAGGAGACAGGGTGCAAACAGAAAGGAAGATACAGGCCTTTTATTTGGGCTGCCAAGTCAAGTTTTTGGTAGGCTCTATGGCATAAAAGATCTTAAGAAAGGGGTTGAAAAGGATTGTGATTAGTTTATTTTTGAATATGGTGTCTAATGCCTATTATTAACTGTTTTTTCTCTCCTAAGCCTTGTGGAGTTGATTTTTGTTTCAAGGAATACTGCCTTTTAAGAAAAAAAAGGAAAAGCTCTTAATTTTATTTCTCTAATTCCCAAATATTTCCAGATTCCTACAGTTTTACTGAAAATCATCAAGCATTACAGAATACATGTTGCCATGGTATCACTGATTGCATAAAAATGAAACCCAACCAATGAAACTAAAAAAACCCCAACCCCCTTTTGTTATTTAATTTTAAAATGCTATTAAATTTGGGTCAGTGAAGTCTTTATGGCACTATTAATCTATAGCTGTTTACTCACATTGGAGAGAAAAAGTAATTTATGCTGGATTAAGATTATTTTAAACACTATAGAATAAAGAATATAGAATACTAGACTTAGGCCAAGTTCATTCAGGTAGTTTATCACTGCTGTGCAAAGTGTGATTTACTCTGTTTTTCTATTAGGTTACTACAAATATTACATGGGGCATTCAACCACAGCCTATGCCTGTGCCGGTATGGGTTATAATTTTGGCTGTCCTAGCAGGATTATTGCTTTTGGCTGTTCTAGTGTTTGTTATGTACCGGGTAAGTACTGTATTTGGGTTTTTTGTATTGTTTTCCCTACTAGTGTTGTATTACTTCAAATAATACCAGCAGCTTGCAGAAATACTTTGGTCCCCTAATCGCCTGAATCAGTTAAGGTTTTGGATAACTGTAAAAACTTTTCAGCTTTGTCAGGAAGAAGTTGAATAGAAGAGGATGTCTGTGATTGTGCCAAGTTACTCAGTTTAATTTTTTCAGCTGATATTTATTGGCTTTGGAGGTCAAAAATAAGGAAAAAGAGAGTAGGAGGGAAAAAAAAAAAAGAGTTAAGATCTGATCAATAAGGAAAGAGAAGGGATGTGCGTATGTTTTGAAAATCACAATGCAATTTCTTTATTGTTCTCTGAATCACAGATGGGCTTTTTCAAACGTGTGAGACCACCTCAGGAAGAACAAGAAAGAGAACAACTGCAACCACATGAGAATGGGGAAGGAACGTCAGAAGCTTAAGCAGAGTTTTATCTGTAAGACATTCTGAAATTTTAAAATGCCTACATCTTGGTTATGAATATTGGTTTCCCCCTTAAAGGAAAAAACACTCATGACTGCAAAGCTGCTGGTCTCAGAAGGTATCAGCATGTACAAAATAAGAACAATATATTTAAATCCTCTTTTTTGTATTAATTATGTTTATACATGTGACTAACGCATCTGCACTGATTTCTGTGTGAAAAAGTAATATGTAGTGCTATGATTTTGCTTTTTGGGATGTAGGAGACATCATCTTTTTTGATTCACGGACCGACTTTACATGAATTCCACCACAGATTCTGTGTTTGCTCTTGAATCCAACAGCTTCCATAGAGACTTCCTGGATTACACATTTAGTTTTGATTGATTTTTGTTGGAAGTACACTACATTTCATTTCCTAGCTCCTGAAAGCTAATTGCACAAAAAATTAAGATAGCTTGTTTTACAAAACTGAAGAATAGTCTTTGACCCATTAATTCTGCTGATGATTTTCCTCCTGCTCAAAAAATATGGAAGAGATTATTCAGTGGAATCATTCATATCGAATACCTATTCTGCATGCCTGTTCCCCTTCCTGCTCAGTCATCTGTCTTGGGGTTTCCCTCTAGACTTTACAAATACTGTTCTCCAGGTCCTAGGTTGGCAGTGTGGATCCATTCAGGTACTGCCAGGGACAAGATGTTGGACTGTGGCTGCCAACAGACATGTCTGATGAGAAAAACCCGTAGCCTTTATGTTCACAAGTCAAACCTCCACAGGGTTTAAAGTTAAGTCTGTATATTACTTGGGTTGAATTTAGTTTCTGGCAGAACAATGGAGGGAATACTTTGTGACAGGTTACCTGATGCACTGTAAGGAAGCTGTTGTTAATTCTCACATTCTGTGGTTGACCATGTCCAAGTACACGATTGAGTAATATAGGGACCATTTAAACTAGACTATCTGCCAGGCAAACATACTTAGATTACATCAGTACTTTAGCCGCACTCACGCCTGCCTTGCCCCAGCTGCTCTGAGAGAACAGTGAGCTTGTCAAATGAAGCAGCGTATAGCTGGCAGCGTGAACAGGTTTGAAAAGAGAAGGTTGATTTGGCTTGTTTCATTTCATTCATTGTACGTTTCATTGCACAGAAGACGTTTCATTGCACAGAAGACGTTTCATTGCACAGAAGACATTTCATTACATTCAATACATTTCATTACCAGAAAAGACACTAAATACTTTGTTTCATTGTTTTTTAAACATACCAAAAGTTCAGTGATTCAAAGCCACGGGTTTAAGTCATTGTTAGCTTATTTCCCTCAGCATTTGTGCGGTAAAATGATGCTTCTTATAGAATCATAGAATCATTTAGGTTGGAAAAGACCTTTAAGATCATCGAGTCCAATGGTAAACCTAGCATGGCCAAGTCCACCACTAAACCACGTCCATAAGCACCACACCTAGACCTCTTTTAAATGCCTCCAGGAACGGTGACTCTACCACTTCCCTGGGCAGCCTGTTCCAGTGCCTGACAACCCTTTCAGGGAAGAAATTTTTCCTGATACCCAATCTAAACCTCTCCTTGTGCACCTTGAGGCCGTTTCTTCTCATCCTATCACTAGTTACCTGGGAGAAGAGACTGACCCCCCCCTTGCTACAACCTCCTTTCAGGTACTTGTAGAGAGCAATCAGGTCTCCCCTCAGCCTCCTCTTCTCCAGGCTAAACAACGCCAGTTCCCTCAGCCGCTCCTCATAAGACTTGTGCTCTACACCCTTCAGCAATCATTCCAGCACCTCAGGTCTGTCTTATAGTGAGGGGCCCAAAACTGAACACAGTATTTGAGTTGCAGCTTCACCAGTACTGAGTACAGAGGGATGATTACTTGCCTAGTCCTGCTGGCCACACTATTTCTGATACAAGCCAGGATGCCATTGGCCTTCTTGGCCACCTGGGCACACTGCTGGCTCATGTTCAGCCAGCTGTCGACCAACACCCCCAGGTTATTCTCAGATGGGCAGCTTTCCAGCCCTCTTCCCCAAGCCTGTAGCTTGTTGTGACCCAAGTGCAGGACCCGGCACTGAGCCTTGTTGCAATTCATCCAATTTCATCCAGCGTGTCCAGCTCCCTCTGCAGAGCCTTCCTGCCCTCAAGCAGATCAACACTCCCGCCCAACTTGGTGTCGTCTGCAAAATTACTGAGAGTGCACTCACACCTCTCATCCAGATCGTTAAACAGAACTGGCCCCAACACTGAGCCCTGAGGACCACCACTGGTGACCGGCCGCCAACTGGACTTAACTCCATTCACCACCACTCTTTGGGCCTGGCCACCCAGCCAGTTTTTTACCCAGTGAAGAGCATGCCTCTCCAAGCCATGCGCAGCCAGTTTCTCCAGGAGAAGGCTGTGGGAAATGGTGTCAAAGGCTTTACTAAAGTCTAGGTAGACGACATCCAGAGCCTTTCCCTCTTCCACTAAGCAGGTCACCAAGTTTAAATCTGATCTAGTTTAAAGCTCTTTCAGTGAGCCCTGCTAACTCCTGTGCCAAGATCCTTTTCGTCCTTTGCGACAGGTGTACCGTGTCTGTTGCCAGCAGGCCTGGTGTCATGTAGACTGGCCCACGATCAAAAAACTGCAAAATTCTGCTGGTGACACCAGTCTTGGAGCCAGATACTGATCTGCTGGCTCTCCCTGTTTCTTCCCTCATCATTCCCTGCTACTGGACGATTAGAAGAGAACACAACTTGTGCTCCTGATCCCTTAACCAGTCGTCCCAAGGCCTTGAAGTCTCTCTTGATTGCCTTCTAGTTCCAACCTTATCGCTGCCTACCTGGAAAATCAGTAATGGATAATAATCCGAGGGCCCTACCAGGGCAGGAAGCTTTGTCTTCACGTCCTTAACCCAGCACACTTCCCTAAAGAGTAAGTCTGGTCTGCATACTGGACTTTCTGATCCTTGCAAGAGGGAGCTTCCTATGACAATCACCCATCTTTTTTTTTAGTGCAAGCAGTTTTGATGCCGGGCATAGGCCGACTTGACGTTTGCGACTCCTCCAAGTTAGTTGAACCATCGTCCTTGTTGTAGTTCGGTTTCACTTGCAGAGCCTCATACTTACTATGCAAGGGCTCCTGGGAAGGTGGGGCAGTCACAGAGGAGATGCGCCTGACGTGCCAGGCAGGGACTTGTTGCCATTGCCCCTTATCTGCCAAGTTATTGTGTTCAGCCAGGCGGAGAGAGGCTATGGAATCCTCCGCATCGTGCATCCTGTTTGCCTGCTGGGCCTGTCCCAGGGAAGGTAGGGTGCTGTTCCAATATACTTAGAAGAGAACACAAGAACGTTATCTGTATGTGTTTCAGTAGACATATAACTGCAAATTAGGTGGTTGGTTGGCTTGCAAACATGTTTAGCTGTGTTGCACAAATCTTACAGTGGACATACTTAAACTATTACAAAGGTGCCTTATATGAGATTTGTTTATTCTCTATTCCAAAAAAGGAATAATTATAATGTAATAAATGTTTATCATGTAAACTCCCTGTATGCAGCCACATACAGAAATGAAGACTTCTGCTGTAATTATACTAGTGAGATTTCTGTGTAGATGAGCTCTTAAAAGGACAAAAACTCTGGTTTGGTTTGGTATCTCGGGGTTTTTGATCAAAGCTGCATCTCCCCCATAAATGCTGCAATGCCCAGTAAACCTAGAATTATCCAAAATTAACAGTTTGATTCAATTCTCATTTCTGCATCCTTTTAGAGATTTAAAATCCACAAAGGGCTTTCATTGTTAAGTCCATTCTTACTCACTGAACCATGATGGCCCTTGAGTCATTAAGAGAGATAGAAGAAAGTCTGTGGGGGCCATATGTAGATCAGATATAGGCCTGCATATTTATCATTTAGCTGTTTTTGTTTTAGACAATGTGTTCAGATAGAATTAGTTTATATGAGAGGGTATAGGGTATAATTCCACTTTCACTGAATTTTCAAGGTCTTCAGTAGGGCCAATGTTTTATTTTTGTCTTTACTTCTAGTATCGTTACTAGTAATACATTAAGGAATCAGGAGTCAGGCTTTGATCCTGGCCTCAGAGTGTGACTTCTATAAAACACAGTTTCAGTTATTTAGATAGGCTTCTAGTTCACACACTTTGTCAGCTGATTAACTATATGCCAGGCAATTGGTTTTACTCAGTCTTAATCTTAGTAGGCTAAGAGGTTTAAGAGACTGTCAGACAGATTATAGCTCTAATTCTTACATGTGTGCTTTCATTACATGTACACACCGTGTTGACTTGAAATTTATTACCGTACTTGCACGTGTAGGTATTATAAGGAGGTGAAAATAAAAAAAAAAGGCATGTTCAAGATCTCTTCAGCTCACATGGAGGGGATACCATAGCATTGTTAATATGAGTGCTAACTGCATCTTAATTTTACTTTGGCAACTGGAAACTCTCATTTTGCTGATTTTTCAGGATAAAAAGGTACATTTTATTGGTACAACTAGTGTAGCTATGGAAAGTTTCTTCCATATATTGAAGTTACATAAAGTAAGACTTATTTAAGTGAGTTTTATTTTCTTGCATTCTACTGGAGAATAAAAGCAAATAGTGCTTTTCCCATGTTCGCTAATTTCCAGTTTGGTTAAAAAAAACCAAAACAAAACAGTAGCATACGTAAATGGAGTATACAGGTTACTTAGTTAACATAGATGTAACACCCCAAATTCAGTTTAAATTGTGTTTCAGGAAGATTCTGAACAGGATGCTTTCCTGAATGAGGGTGGAGGAGACATTTGGTACCACATTCTAGATTCAGCAATAAGATTACAGTCTATGTATGTACTTGTGTCAGTATGAATTTCATACTGACTTAAAGGTATTGATGTATTCTTATAGCAAATATTGTAGAATGATGTTAAAACTTATAAAGAAACTTTGAAAAATGTATTTTGGAATGAAATTAATGTCCTTCAGTCAAAATTGATGTGCAT